CTCTCTCTTTTTCTCTCTCTCTCTCTCTTTTTTTTTTTTTTTAGAGAACCTGCACTTCCCCCTCTCTATGTGGTCCTTGTGGGATCATGGCTCATGATGCCCACATATCTGTGGTCACCTGGTCCAGGCCGACCCAAGCAGAGTGCCGAGTCCTCAGAGCTTGGTCCCAGGACCAATGAGAGTTGTTCCTTAAGATTTCATAAAAGGTCTCTTTTATTTTTGGAGCATAATGTGTTCAAATATAAGCTGAAGGCCATTGGTGGCCATTTTTCTAATGTTCACAGAGAAGCTGTGAGAAGGTGAGACACGGAGAGAGAGAGAGCATGGGTCTTCATGACGTCAACAGCACCCTTAATTGGCTGTGCCTATAGGATTTGCCCTGGGACTCCCAGGTAATGAGTCCCACACGTTCTTCTTTGCTTGAGCTGGATTGAATTGGGCTTTTGCAGGAACCCTGCATAATATATACCTGAGATTCACAGTATCCAAACACAAAACCCCGACTCCTCTGCCAGCAAACTGCTTTCTTCTAGCTTCCCCTGCCTTCCACAGCCTCGTCACTGCTCATTCAGTTACAGCCACTATTCACTGCCGTGGCCTTAGTTCAGATGCACATCACTTCTTACCTGGGTTGTGGAAATGGCCTCCTGCCTCCAAGTATGTCTACTCCTAGCCCACACACAAACCCCCTGTCCCAGCCAAGATCTTTCTTTCTGAGCCTGATCCTTCCTGCAGTTATGTGGGGTCATTCACGAGGCTGCTGGCCTTCGGGCCCCTCCCATCTGTAAACCTCACCTGGCACCAGCTTTTCCTGGCTCTAGCAGAACTGCTTGTAGTTCCCGCACTCACTTCTAAGCTAACATATTATACATGCTGCTTTCAGTGGTTCTCAGTCCTTTCTGTGCCAAGGACCCCTTGCCAGTCCGTTGAAGCTTATAGAACCTCTCAAAATAATGTTTTTAAAATCATAGACTAGGATACATAGGTTATAATGAAATTATAATTATACTGGTATCTAGTTATCAAAATATTCAAATTTATATGGTAATGTAAGTGCTTCGTCATTAATGCATTGAATAGAAAAGCTAGTGGTGGGCCTAATAATTGTTTTACTTTTCAAGCAGTAAAGAGTATAAAAGAAATTTCAATGTATTTGCAACAACTATTATGTGATATGAATAAATATGACTTCTATTGGTGACACAGTCCCATATTGCTGTCTGCATTCACAATGAAAGGAAATACTGAATTTCAGGTAGAGGTTAGAGACAAATGGAGATGTAACTTCCATGGACTCTCCAGAATTCTATCCATGGACACCACTGCTGGGGTTTTTGTCCCAACATTATAAAGGGTTCAGCAATCTGGAGGAAGGTTGTGCATAAATGATTAAGTAGGAATCCAAAGATGAAAGATAGTTTGAAAGGCATTGGGGGACACAGGAGCTTCAGCTAAAGGAGCTAAAGACTACCCCTTGACTCAGGACCCAGTGCTTTTTATTAACACAATTTGTCCTAAGTCAAGATGGAGACATACAATTCAAAATGTAGGATTTCAAAGGGTAGGGTTTATAGACGCATTGTCAGATTGGGGAATAGCCTTCAGCTGTCCAGGTGTTTGGCCAACAGGAGGCAATAACATGTAGATGAAGATGCCCTGAGTGTCTGGCAGCAAATGATTATCCTATTCAGGTTTGCGGGAGATGTTTTTAGTCATTCCAACAGATGATTACATAGGTGGCTCAGCCCTTGTTGAGCATCCAAGCTTCATCAACCTTTTGATGAAATTCTTGTAATTATGACATGCTTGGAATTGGTTCCTGGCACACCACCACCCTCCCTAGTCAAGCAACACCGGGCTCTAGAGGTGGCAAGTAATCACCCTACTTTTTGTTCCTTGGGATTCAGCTTAATGTCAACCCCTCCAGAAAGCCTTCTCGACCTTAAATACACTAGGTTGGGTTCCCTCCTGTGCATTCCTAATCAAGTCCCCTTTATCATACCACAGGCCCCATGCAATTCCACACATTTGTCAGTCTCCTGGACTGGGGGCTTCTCCTCCGAGGCCTGTGAAAGTGCCAGCTGCCTTGTCCAGACAGTCACAGCCTTGGTCTGAGTCCAGGTTACAACTCAAAGCCAGACTGCGGGTCCCTGAGAGGGGCCGGGAGAGGATCGGCGAGCTGGAGGTGCTGAAATTGTCTTGGAATGACAGCTGACACTTTTGATGAATGGCTTAGGGCTGACATCACATTCATTCTTACATCTAAGGCAGATGGTGCAGCTGTGAAGAGCTGGTCCTTTAGAGCTAAACCTATCTGCACTTTCACCCTGTCCCTGTCTCTTTTCCCTGATTACAATGGGGGCTCGCTTCCTCTCAGAGCTTCCTCACCTGTAAAATGGGTTAGACAGTAATAGTGCCCGCCTTGTAGGCTATGGTGAGGCTTTAACAAGAATGCATGTGTAGTGTGCAGTCCTAATAATGACTTGAGTTAGAAGCACCCGTATAAGCTACTATTACCATCCATTTGCTCTTTCAGCAAACATTTATTAAACACCTGTTGCATGCCAGGTGTTTTACAGACATGAAAGCATTTGATACCCTCAGAAATAGGTTCTCTTATCCCCATTTTATTTTTTATTTTTTTAAATATATTTCATTGATTTTTTACAGAGAGGAAGGGAGAGAGATAGAGAGCTAGAAACGTCGATGAGAGAGAAACATCGACCAGCTGCCTCTTGCACAACCCCCACCGGGGATGTGCCTGCAACCAATGTACATGCCCTTGACCGGAATTGAACCTGGGACCTTTCTGTTCGCAGACAGACGCTCTACCACTGAGCCAAACTGGTTTCGGCTTATCCCCATTTTAAATATCCTCCCCATGGGTAGAAGGGAGCTTGGTATTCTCAGACACTTATAAGTCATTAGGGAGTAAGATACCAAACTAACCCTAAAGATATCATCCCGCCCCTTCCCTCCAAGATTCTGTGCTGTGAGGCAGCCAAGTGCAATAGTTAGGGGAAGGTTTCGGCTTAGGGTATCTTTGAACCCCAACTCTTGGATGGTGCTTAACTGCACCATCCAAGCTCATCTAAGGAGTGGGATAGTATCAATACCCACCTCATGGTTATCAGAGAATGAAAGATGGAATTTTTGTAAAAGGTTTAAAACAGTCTTTCAGACACGCAGTCTCCAAAATGTTAGATATCTTCGTGGGATCACCTGGCAGATTCCTCCACCTCTGGCCAGTCCCCTTGAGGAGCACCCATCCCAGCAGGCACCCCTCCTGTGTGAGGCCCACTTCCCACAATCAAATCCCCCCCTTCCCATTGGTGCTGAAGAAACACTGTGGATAAATGCCACACGCTGGGGCAGTGTTTGGACCTTGTGGGTTCAAACGCCAGAGGGGCCAGCTGTCACACCTGGGGAGAGTGGCTTTCCCTCTCTGCACCTCAGTTTCTTCATCTGTAAATTGGGGATAATTGCCGCCCCTCCCTCATAACATTGAGAATAATCAAGTCAACAGCAACAACAAAAACATTGAAGGAGTGTCTACTAGTATTCTGATTTGGGACTGTGCCAGCTGAATAGGAGTGAGCAAGTAGGATGAAATGAAATAATGCTTGTGAAGTGTTGAGCACAGTGCCCGCTGAATTATACACGTTCAACACGTGTTCCATGCCAGGTGCTCCAAATGATGTAGTATATCACACTCAAAATGTGTACGCATGCTAGATTTTAACACAAAATACATAAACACGTGTAGCACATCTTTCATTACTTCCACATTCATTTTCTTATTCATTCCCTCAAAGCAGCCCTGAAAGGTAGGCAGGGTAGAGATTTTATGCCATTTTTTACCATGAAAAAACAGAGGCGCTGGGAGGTGAAAAGGCTGATGAACTGGTTGGTGGTGACTGGCAACTGGAGAGAGAAGGCGGGCCATTTAGAAAGAGAGCCGGCGGAGGGCCATGTTCCACCTCACATCCCTCCGTGGAGAGCCAGGCCCCAGCTCTGCGGCCTTGGGGTGGGAGGACCAGCTTGGAGGAGGATTCCAGGCCCAGGGCGCCCCGACCACGCGGGGGAGCTGCGGGTGGACACGCCCTGGGGCGCAGGACCAGCGGCGCGGAGCTTCCCGCGGGCAGAGGCGCTCACCACTCCGGGCCCGACGCTGGGTGGCGCTGCCGGGCCGCCCCGCGCCAGACCTGTTGCGCGAAGGGCGCTTCTCCGCCAGGTTAGGGTGAAGGGGTGCTCCCCTCTCTCCCCGAGCCACCCCCCCCCCCCCGCGTCCTCGGTCGCATCTCCCTTGGGGGGCCAACGCCCCATCTTAACGTGAGACTCTCCTTCATCTGCCTCTGCACCCCTCACTGCATCAGTGCTAGGCGCGGCGGGAGCGGTGGGAATAAAGTTTGTCCAAGCTGGGCTGAGAGAGGGCTGGGCTGGGGAGGACCCTCCCAGCCACAGGCTCCGTGGCTGGACTGTGCCCTCTGCCACCGCGGCGGCTCCGCTCTGGGCAGGTGCCAGCCCCGGCGCCGACCGCTGGGTGACCCTGCGCGCCCTCTCCCACCCGCTCCCCATCCCCATCCCCGTCCCCTCCCTCCCCCGCCTCCCGCGCGCCCCGGCCGGCGTCTCCGCCCTCCCGCGCCGGGGTCGCCGCAGTCCCCGCTGCCCCCGGCTCCCTGCTCGGGCGCCCCGGCCTCACTCCCGCCTCGGAGCGCTTCGGGGGGAACGCGGGGGGCCGAGGTGGGGGCCCCGGGCACCTCAGCCCTCCGGACCCGCAGGCGGCCCCGACTCCGGAGCCGGAGCGCAGGGGAAGGCGAGGACCGACCGGGCGGCCGGCGGAGGGGCGGGCGCCGCTCATCAGCCACGCCAGGCACGTCTGGGGCCGCCCGGCCGCCTTTTCCTCCTCTCCCCCTCTGCTTCCCCCCCTCTCCCCTCGGCGAGGGCAGAGTGGCCGCGGCGGCGCCATGCCCGGGCCGGAGTGAGTGGCGCGGGCGAAGATGGCGTACATCCAGGTAGGGCTGAGCTGGGGGCCGGGGCCGCGGGGTGGGTGGGTGGGTGGGGAGGCCGGGACCCTCCGGCCGGGAGCGCGCGGGAGGGAGGGAGGGCCCGCGGCTGTGCTCCCGCAAACTTGCCCGGGGAAAAGGGGTGCCCGAGCGCAGCAACCTGTGCGCCCCGGGAGCAGAGGCTGGGCACCCCCACACCCCCGAACACAGGGCCCCGTGCGGACTCTGCACGCGCGCCTTCGCCTCCTGGGGAAGGAAGGGGGCGGTGGTGGTGCAGACTTTTCTTCCCGCGCCCCCATCCCCCTCCCTGGGCATCCCACCCCAGGGAGGGGCCGAGGCAGGAGGCCCAGGGCACCCCAGCCACCCGGCCCGCCAGCTGTGGTTGCCGTGGTGACGGCCCGGCTAATTGGCAGGCGGAGTGCGCCGGAGGCAGCTGTTCTGGCCGGGAGGGACAAGGACGTGGTCTCTCCCGGGCGCTGGGTGCCAGGGGTGGGGGACACACCAGGGGCGAGCTGGTGCTGGTGCTGGTGGTGGAGGCGCTGCTGGTGGGGCAGCCGATTCCTTAGGCCATTGTCTTGGGGCTGGGAGTTGTGGACCCCTATCATTTTGGGGAAACTCTCCCCTAAGAATCCTCGCCGATATAATTTCCAAGCGTGATTTTTTTTGGAGGGGGATGGAAAGTGGCGGTGAACTGCTTGACTAAGAGACCTTTCTCCTTAATACAAGGCTGGAAGCGGCGACAGGTCAGCGCCAAGGTCATGCAGTCAGACCCTTTGCTTGCTTCTGGGACTGGCTCCTCTGAGCCGGGCAGAGAAGCCTACAGGCTCCCACATCCAGGGTGCATCTGGGCTCCCTTCTCATCTCCTCCACCACAGATGGGGGGCTGCTGGTCCCCGAGTTTCCCCTCTGGCTCACACATGCCCTCAGTTTGTCCTTAGATGTGTCATTTGACCTGGAACTCTGCTCTGTCACCTGGCTAGCCTCTTCCTTTCTCTCCTGGTTTAGGTGAGCTCTGTTGGCTCCCCGTTCATGAAATCCCTAGGTCATCTTTTCAAGTTCATTGTAGGTCACGCCTACACCCACTGTGTGCTGGATGTTGTTAGGAGGGCTATTCAATAGTTACTCAACAAACAGTCGGGTGACCACCTATCATGTGTGTGCACTGGGGCACAGCTGTGAGCGCAGCATGGTCCCTGCCTCTCAGAATGCAAATCTAGGGAGACACGAAGAACATCTGAACAGGCTTCTATGGTTCTTAGTGACCACCTTCAGCACCGAGGCGACACAGCTGCTTAGGAGGTCATGGTGAGGTCTAAACGTGGGGATGGATCAGTGAGGATGGCCCGGTGTCGCTGGCTTAACTTCCAGAAGTTGTTGTTAAACTTTTTCTGTAAAGGGCCACATAGTAAATATTTGTTTCTTTGAAGGCTGAAAGGCCTGTGTCTCAACTATTCTGCTCTGACTGTGGTGCTCAATGGCAATAGACAATAGTCTGTGAATGGGCGTGGCTGTGTTCCAATAAAACTTTATTTGTGAACACTGACATTTGAATTTCATATATTTTGCATGAGTCAAGGAGTATTAATCTCCTTCTGACTTTTTCCCCCCAAACATTTGAAAGTGTACAAATCGTTCTTAGCTGAAGTGCCACACGGAAATAGGCTGGCTGCAGGCTGGATTTCTCACCCCTGTTATAGAATGTCTGCCTTTCCTCTCATCCTGTTTCTTTCTGGCTTGCATCAGTTCTCCTTCATTGGATCAAACACGTGAACCCAGGAGGCCCAGGGTGAGGAAAGGCTCACAAAGCATGCTGATCGCATCAGAGCACCTTCTCTTTCCTCTTTCTTCATCTTCCTTGGTTTTGCTTTGCTCCCTGACACTTACCTTGCACCTGGGACTTGAGAAGGCTGGATGGTTGTTCCTCAGCAGGGACCTGGGGTGGCCTTATCTCTGCTCATCACGGTTTTATTATAAACGGCTCTCCGACCACCACGTACCGAGGAAAGGCTTCCCCCCCATGAAGATAATGGGCATGGATTGTGAAAAAGCAGCCCTTTGTCCTTGTACTTTGTTGGAAGCTCTTTAAAGCACTTGCTCTTGTAAGCCCGGCAAGGACATCGCTTTTTGCTGCTTTGCTCACCAAGGTAGTCAGTCCCTGGTGCCCAGCTGGTTCCAGCTGGTCTTGAGGAACCACCCTGTTCTCATGAGCCACGGAGAGGGGGCAGGTACATTGCAGCTGGGCCACACACAAGCATTTTCACAGCGTCCTGGGTTAGTCTTCCCACAGAGGAAAGAGGTACCTGAGGCTCAGAGTGGCCCCTTCACTTGCCCAAGTCACATGATTGGCGAGTGGGGAGGACAGGACTAGCACTTCTCTACTCAGCTCTTTGCCTGCCCACATTCCCCCCGCTCTGCCCCTCATGTACCCCACTCACCCTCCCACACACCACCCCTCTGCTGCCACCCAGCAGGTCTTGTTCTGGTTTGAGCTTTGCTTTTGGAAGATTGTGATTAGTGCCCAGACTTTGTTTTCCAAGCTGCAGCCATAGCCTTACCACTTCAAGGATTTTGAATTTTTCACGAGCTATGTATCACCTGTACCGTTATTTACTTAATTTTTTTTTCTATAAATGGATTCACACTTTCTTTAGTTTAAAAACTCGTATGAAAGGGAAACTTTATGTCAAAACCATAATAGAAAACCAGGATGACTTGATATAAGCAGAAGGCAATTGGACCAAAGAAACACGGTTAGAATAATGCCACATTCTTAGGTGCTGGCTGGCAAGGGCTCCCTGCCAGGCTCTGAGGGAGATATGTGGGGGGTTTCTATCTGTTTAAAAAGGAAGGGGTGGGGAAGATTTGCACGTGTGAGGAAGATGTTATTGAATCTTTCTCCTCCTTGCAAGAGAATTGAAAAAAATAATAATAACTTTCTCCCTCTTGGTTCGAAGTTCTGAGTTCGAGTCTTGCCTCAGTTCACCTCTGGGACACGTCCCAGGCAGGCTAAGATGTGGGACTCCTCCTAACCTACCTTCTTTACTTGGCCACATAGTAAATATTGGAAACCCATCAAGAGGGGAGGGAGCTTGTGTCTTAGGAACCTGTGAGAGGAAGATGGGATGTGGTGAGGGGGGGTGCAGGGGGAGGGGAGGGGGATGAGAGGGCGGCATAGAAGGGGGGCAGCCTGTCTCTCCTCCAAGGACCAGATTCTGGCTTCCTTTTTGGCTCCCTCTATTTGTGGGTGGTCTTACGAAGCTTCCCACCATCTCCATTGGAGCAGAATGAGAAGGTAGGGCCTCCAGGAGGGCTGGGGAGCCGAGTCACAGCCACTCAGTGCCTGCCTGCATGTGGGCAAATCATGTCTTTTGGGGTTGGCTTCGCGGTTATTTCTGTATAGGAAGGTTTGCTCTTCTGAAGTGTGGCTGCATTGGCTAGCATGACTATCTATCCACCCGCACTGATTCACAACAGCATACGGTGCAAATCAGACCGAAATGCCGAAGTTTCCCATTTATTATTCGGTGTTGGCTAGCCAGGAGGCTACCCGCAGCCCTGAAGATAGCAACACCTAGGTAGGAAGTCAGCTCCCTTCCCAGGATGGTAAGTGGAAAGATCCAGGGCTTATTCTTTCTCTTTTCTGAGTTGCTGAAATATTGCTAAACTGGTCTTGTCTCCCTCTCTCTCTTTTTGTCGCCCCCACCCCCTCCACCCCGTGGCTTCGTCTTGGATCTCTAAAAGGGCAGTTGGAACCTTTGAACGAGGTGGGTTAATTCAATGATTCGTTTGGTCTGGCTTCTCATCAAGAAATGCTTGCTTTTCATTTTGGAGTCTTCTGTGAGGCTGTGGGGAATATTGAATATTAAACAGTCACCGGATGTCGATAAGGGCACTGTTTCCATGCCTCTCTGTGGCAGGGAGATCCCGGTGAACAGACACGAGATGACAAGATAGGTCTCCCTCCCCACCCCCTACTTATTCCATTTGATTATCTCTGTTTGCTTTCATGTCACTGAGATTATCTTTTCTAAAAAGACTATTTTTTGCTCTGCTCTCAAAATGACAGACTAATATTCATTGTGTCTCGGAACATATTGTGTAACCCTCACCACGGTGGGTATGCCGCCCACACGTCACGGAAGACGTTCCCATAAACTACAAAAGAAACTACCTGCAAATGTCTCGCCGGCTATTAATGGCTCCGGCAAGGTGGTGTTTGCCATCTCTGTGCCTGCGATTGGTAAACAGAAACGGAAAACATTTTGTTCCAAGTGTTGACAAACCTCCTGCATGTCGTTATGTCTCACCAGGGATGGGCTGCTTGTAATTCGGGTGTTTTTCCTCTTCCTCCTTTCCATCCTTCCCCGCATCTCCTCTCGCCCCCCTCCCCGCCCACCTCCCCCAATGGCCTCAGGGTTTTCTTTCTAGAATCTCTGATCTGCTGCTGTGCAGATGGACCTGCCGGCACTGCTGTCAGAAGTGTTACGAGTCCAGCTGTTGCCAGTCGAGTGAGGATGAAGTTGAAATTCTGGGACCTTTTCCTGCCCAGACTCCTCCCTGGCTGTAAGTAACACTGCTCCCAACTCCCTTGGAAGCAATCTCAAGACCTTTTTTTATCCTCTGTCTCTGAGAGGGGATGGGGCCTGGGAAAGGAGGATTTGAGGGATGAAAGCAGGGAAGGAAGGCAGGGTGCCCACTGACCTCTTCGCTACGGGTGTGACGGGATCTGTGCCTCTCTCTCTCTCTCTCTCTCTCTCTTTTTTTTTTTTTTTTTTTTTTGGCAAGCTGGTGAGACCAGCTGGTGGTGGGACTTCTGTTCAGCTAGTTTCACATCTCCTGAGATGTGAACTGTGTAATGTTAAGCATGTGGGCACTTTTAATCACGTTGGGTGTCATTCCAAGCGGAAAAAAGGTCTGTGAGCATCGATAGCCTTCAAGGCGTGTCGGTTCTAATGGTGTCCATCCAAGTCAGTGCCTGGCGATTGGCCGGGCATCTGACCCAGTGCTTGGCACATGGTAGATGCTTATAAATGTCTGTTGCCTGGCGGGGTAGATGGAATGAACAAACAAGTGTATCTTCGCTGATCTGACCGAGAGCTTCAGAAATAGGGAAGCCGAAAAGCACCTCCAGGCTTCATCCTGTCCTCCAACGCTGTTTATGTTCTCCCTGGCGTCTTTCATTTTATTTCCAGTTCGTTCTCCTCCCGCGCCTGCACACAACATCTCCATCTGCCAGTCCCTCAGATATTTTGGGAACGCAGTTTTGAAGCTTTTGAGCCACGTGGCTGGTCCATCTCTCTGTGGCTGGGAGAGGGACGTGGCCAGAGAGTCTGGGTTGAGTCTAGAGGGTCTGGGGATTATTGAGAACAACTTCTTATGATACAGATGGGGAGGCCCAGAGAGGAGAGAGACAGTGCAGGTGCCCACCGCTGGAGCCTCTGTGGGGAGCCAGTGCTGTCTCAGCTAAATCCTTGGGCTGAAGTTACAGAAGCTTCTGGTGCCCCAGCTTTCCCTCCATACTGGGGGGACGGCAGGGGGCAGGGTGTGGGATGGGTCATGCCTCCGTTCTTCCTCTCATTTTCTGTTTTTAGAGGCAAGTATTGCATATTTCCATAATAAAGTGGTTCTGTGTCAGGCTCTGTGAGTTGATATCTTTCTTTTTCTTCCCTACTTTTTCCTAGTTCTGTGACCTTGAGCAAGTTGCTTGATACCTCTCTTTTTCTCTCTCTCTGCCTTGATTTTCCCATCTGTAAAATGGGGATGATAAAAAATAATAGTATTTATATCATAGGGTTGTTGTGGTGATTGCATGAATTAGTGTATGGAAAAGGACTTAAGAACGCTTGACCCCTGGTTGGCAATCCTAGATGAGAGTCTTTTTTTACCCTGTTTTTGTCTCAGTTTTCTCATATGTAAAGTGGGAATGTAATATGACTTATTTTATACTAGAGACCCAATGCACGAATTCGTGCACAGGTGGGTCCCTTGGCCTGGCCAGCGATAGAGGCCTATTGGGGAGGACGAAGGAGGGGGGAAGAGATGGGGAGTGATCAAGAGAAGTTGGCCGGATGGAAGGAGGGGCAGTGGGAGGTTGGCTATGGGAGTGCACTGACCACCAGAGGGCAGCTCCTGCATTGAGTGTCTGTCCCCTGGTGGTCAGTGTGTGCCATAGGGACTGGTCATTCTGGTTGTTCAGTTGTAATGGTCACTTATGCATTTACATATATATCGATGGCTGTTATTCAGAGTAATGAGATATGCACATACTATGCTAATCACGTAGTAAGTATTCATTTCTATCATTATATTGATAGGGATTCTTTAAACTGATTTAAAGGCGATGTTACGGCACTCTTCCATTATTCATAGGTAGTGACCTGAATCCCGCAGATGTGTGTAGAGTTGGAATGTTTGGTGAAATCAACTCATTAATCAAGAGCTCAGTCCCATTTTCCAGTGCCCTGTGTGACAGAGATTGGCTTAGCCCTATGGACGGCAAACTGTGGCTTTCGAGCCACATGTGGCTCTTTGGCCCCTTGAGTGTGGCTCTTCCACAAAATACCACGGCCTGGGCAAGTCTGTGAAGAAGAGGCATTAGAAGAAGTTTAAGTTTAAAAAAATTTGGCTCTCAAATTTCAGTCATTGTTCTGTTGATATTTGGCTCTTTTGACTGGCTTAGCCCATCTGGTGTCTTTTCTTTAAAGAATGCCAGCTCTGTGAGGGCAGGGTTTCTATCTGTCTAACTCCAAAAAATAGTTGTTGACCAACTGACGAACGTACAGGCAGAAATTGAATCCTGAAAGCATCAGCCATCCAATTGAGGCCAGCTGGTGGCTCAGTGGTTGAATGTCGACCTGTGAACTAATAGGTCGCTGGTTCTATTCCTGGTGAGGCACATGCCCTGGCAAGCAGGAGGCAGCCAACCGATGTTTCTATCTCTCTATCCCTCTATTTTCCTCTTTAAAAATCTAAAAAAAAATATGTTAATCTCAGTTTCTTTGGTAATTATGTCTTGAGTATACCCTGCAGACACTCTATAGAGTCCTATTACTGTACTCAGGGGATTTAAAATCTAGTATAGGGGCCCCAGTTGGGTGGCTTAGTTGGTTGGAACGTTGTGCTGTTCACTGAAAGGTTGTGGGTTCGATTCTCAGTCAGGGCACATACCTAGGTTTTGGGTTCAATCCCCTGTTGGTGTGAGTACGGGAGACAACCAATTGATATTTCTCTCTATCTCCTTTCCTGTCTCTCGAAAATCAATTAAAAAAAAACACAAAAAAAAAAAAACACCTAGGGTGAAGATTAAAACAAAAACAACTAGTAAAGGAGATGAGGCAAGTACAGAAGTATGCATTCACATAAGTATGCAGGCACATAAGTATGCAGGCACACTGATAGGACAGTCCTGCATAGAGTTGTCAATGGAAAAATCCAGGGAGAATGGCTTCATTCAGGCATAGCTGGATCCAGAGGCTTAAATATTGTCTGGGTGTGCGCGTGTGTGCTCTCGTTGTCTTTGTTTAGTTTGTATTGGCCTCATTCTTAAGCTTGCCTCTTCTTTGCCCCATTTTAACAGCAGCAAAAGCACCAGGAAGGGCTCTCTTTGCCCTGGTTTGGTGTAAATGTGCCCAATCACTTTTGCTTGGAGGAGATGGTGCTGGGATCATCCCTGGGTTGCCATCCTGGACCCAGGGGCATTTCCACTTGAAACACTTGAACTAAGCTAGTAGAGCAGGGTTGGCACACTTTTCCTGTAAAGGGCCCGATAGTAAACATTTCAGCCTCATGGGCTTATTCTGTGTTGCAACTATTATAGTCAACTCTGTCATTGCCGTGCGGAATCAACCAGACTCAATACATTAATGAATGGCATGGGTGTGTTCCAGCAACACTTCATTTACAAAATCAGCTGTGGATTTGGCCCTGTGGTTCGCTGACCTTTGTCCTAGATAGTTTGGATGCTGTGACTGGACCCAGGGCAAGCAAACACAAGACATGGACACTATCTCTTGGAAGAGCTATGAGGATTGTAGAAAATGAGCCTGCAAACTCTGATGGTGCAGGGTCATGAATGCCGGATGAAGGAATTTGGATTTTTTTTTGAACCAGTAGAGAACCTGATAGACATTGAAAATCACAGTCTGTTAGCCCCCAGATACCCGGATGGAGCGTGACAGATGCCCTGCCTCTGAGTTGGATGACAGTTGCGCTCTGACCAGGCTACTGGCCCTCTGGGCATGCCGAGGATTCTTTGGGGGGTAGGGGGTGGGATCCCCTGGGAAGACAGTTCTTTTGGTTTTGCCGCCAGCAGGGAAGTGGGCTGGGAACTTCCCACAAGAGCCAGCACACCACAACTTCTGGACGCTTTGCTCACTGGTGGTTATTATGAATGGCACCACATAGAGTCCTGCAGCCTGCAGCCCGGACACTGTACGTGACCTCCAAGCTTCCCGGGATGAATCAGGTCTTCCTGGAGTCCTGGCATCACTGAGTGCACTTTTGGCGCTCAACACAGGGCAAAACGTTAAGAGAAATGTGAAAAGGTGAAGTGGGTTCAGTCATTCAGAGGGCGATTTACAGCTTGTGCTTTCCCCAGCTTTATTTACCAAGTGGGCCGTTGCATGTTATCAAACAGGCAGGGAATAGAAATGTCAAGTGCACAGGCTTTGCGGTGCTGTTCCTGCTGTGATATTTGAGCCCAGAACCACAGGGCTGGCAGAGGAGCTGGCTCTGTGTGTGGGGGACACATCATTCACTGTCACATGTGCTCCTGTCATGTGGGGCCCCCTCGCTTTCCTCGGCTGGGCTGGCCCAGTGAGGGTCAGGAAACTACCGTCCAGCTGGCTCCTTGGGCAGTGCCAGAAAGACCCTCCTTGAAGAGTGAATTAAAGTCAGGTTATTTGTTGAGTACCTACTGTGTTGAGTACCTACTGTGTATGTGCTGAGTACCTACTCCAGAGGCCTTGCAGGGGGTGCCCAGCTCAGAAGTGTGGAGCTGTGACCTGAAGCCTAGCATTGCATGACTCAGTTGAGCTTCTACCATTTAACAGTGATGCCAATTACTTATCCATCCCTCTCCCTACCCTATCCTGGGCCCTATATTTCCTCACCTGTAAAAGGGGCACGGTTATTAATAACAACTAACTCCCAGGTTATTTTAAGGGTGAAATCAGATGGTTCATACAGAGCATTTAGCCCAGGGCCCAGCACATGGTGGGCACTCAGCACCTGGTACCTTTGAGCATAGTAGGTACATGTCTCCCCACTAAGCAGTGTGTCCTGTTATAGGAGGGTTGACAAGACATGGACTCGGATAATTGGGACACAAGATAAATGGGATAAGAACCACAGGAAGGGTGTATTCACTCACTCGCTGAGAAAATAAATGTGGAACACCCCAGATGCGCCAGGTTGTAAGGCATGGTTGGCAGTGGTGACAGGTTAAGACAGATTCTATCACTGCCCATATGGAGCTGAAGCTTGGTGTCAGGTGCAGAGGAGAAACAAGCAAGCAAGCCACAACCAAAGATAAGTGATGTATGTGCAATGTCAAAGAGACAAAAGCAGGTGCAGGGGTAGGGGCTGAATGGGGTGGGAGGAGGAGATGGGGACAGGGTGGGGCCTCTCTGAGGAGATGCTGTCGAAGCTGAGACCTGAGTGGTGATAAGGAACCAAACAGGTGATGGGGCCTGGAAGAGCAATGGGGGCAGAGGGAACAGTTGGCACTGGGTGTGGGAGGAAGGCTGGGAGGCCTGGCGGTTGCAGAGGAGGCAGGAATGGCTCAGCATACACTGGTACTGTGTCAGAGGACTCAGCCGAGGCCCTGAGAGGCTGAGTCCTGGGAGGCTGGACGGGACTTCACAGGTGGAGTGACCGCCACAGAGGTGTGGCCGCGGAGGAGACAGACTGTGCAGGTGGAGGTGCCCCAGTGACTCCTTCCGTGGGAGATGCTACAGCTCTCATTTAAGGGAGAGCAAGAAGAATGATGGGTACAGTGTGACCCATCTCTGTGACCTCCCCTGCTCTCCACCCCCCACATTTCATCTGCTATCTTCTCCGAGAGACCAGGAGCCGGGGGCAGGCGGGGCCTGTGCACGTCCCGGCCTTGTCACAGCCCCGGCCTTGTCCTCGCCGTGACCCTTATATCACTTTGGAAGAACATCAGATCCATCTCATTTCATGCACAGGATGCATCAGAAGACCTTGGAGAATTGGAAACTTGCATCTTTCAGGACTAGTTTCCCTGCAGGCTTAAATGTCAAGCTGGGGGATGCGGGCTTAAACATATCAATCCGCAGCTGGGAACTTGGGGCGTGTTATTAGCAGCATCCATCTCGCGGCCACTTTGCCTGCTTTTGTCCCCCCCCATTTCCCTTCCCGAAGCATCCTAACCTCGCAGCCTTGTGAACATTGGGGGGGATCTTAAAAGACTAGCCAGTAATACTAGCTAAAATGGATTGAGCATCTTCCTGCAGCATGCCAAGCACTGTTCTAGACATTTTACATGTGTGAACGCGCTCAGTGTTCACAGCAGCCAGGCAAGGTGGGCACCGTTATTCTCGTTTTACGGATAGGGAGATGGAGACACAGAGAGAGGAGGGGACTCGCCCAGAGTCACCCAGCCAGGGATCAGACCGAGAGGTCCTGCTCTTTAATCACTGCTCTGTATCGCCCCACCCTCCGACCCAAGGATCTTAATCGTTTCATGGGGAGCGCGTTGAGTCGCGCCTGCTGCTAATTCATAGCTGTTTCTTTACATCAAACTGTTGTTCTTCAGTCATTGATTCTCAGGGCCGTTTTGTAGCTAGAGCCCTGCCCCTCAAAGAACCCTTGAGTGACATGGTTATGGGTGTTTTTTATTTATTTTTACTTATTTATTAAATATATTTTTATTGATTTTTTACAGAGAGGAAGGGAGAGAGATGGAGTTAGAAACATCAATGAGAGAGAATCATCGATCAGTTGCCTCTTGCACGCCCCCTACTGGGGACGTGCCCGCAACCAAGGTACATGCCCTTGACCGGAATCGAACCTGGAACCTTTCAGTCCGCAGACCGAAGCTCTACCACTGAGCCAAACCAGCTTCGGCTGGGTGTTTTTAAGAGATGTTAAATTGTAGGCCGAGGGGCTGTTGGAAGAGCAGAGTGTTTCTCACCAAGAGCCACTTGCAAAAGTTGGGGTGCACATGGACAGCCACACAGTTCCTTCCAGACTGAAGATTGACAGGTCTCGTGACCAGTCACAGTGGTGCCCCACCTCCGAGGCCGCATCCCGAGTAAGTTCCCCTATCTCTCCCTTCGGCCCCAGCTTTGACTGATGGCTCTAAATTGGGAAATATGCATTCATATCATTTCACATTTTGTGCAGAAAGCAAGACATTACTGAGAGTTTAGGGCCACCACGCTATTTCAAATTCGCATTATCCCCAGCTACATAAACGGCAGGAGAGCTGTCTCCTCGTGGTCTGGTCTCCAAGGGCAGAGATGCCTGTCCTGGGGATTCTCTGACGACCATCGAGACCTCTCCCCTCCCACAGGATGGCCAGCAGGAGCAGCGACAAGGATGGGGACTCTGTCCACACAGCCAATGACGTCCCCCTGACCCCACGCACCACCTCCCCAGATCGAAGATGCTCGTCTTCAGACACGTCCAAGTCTACATACAGCCTGACCCGGAGGATTTCAAGTAAGCATCTGCCACGGCAGAGCGTCCTGGCGCGGGCGATCTTGTGCCGCTCACCTCCCTTCAGAGTCCATGAACGAATCCCACCAGCTGGGTCCCAGGACAGAGGAGGGGGCTGGCTTTCCCACACACTCAGCAGCAGCCCCAGGGAAAGATGTGCAGGACACGGGGGGTCCCTGGGGAGGGGCAGAGTCGGGTGATAGGAGACAGGATGAGGTAGCGATAATGACAACGTGACAGAAGTGCATTGCCGTGATCATTTTGACTGATTTTTGTTTTTGCTGATCGCTTTTCATCGAATTGGCTCCGCTGATTGACATTGACAACATATGTCATTTCAGCCCCCAAAGGCAAGTGTCGCCATGTTACACTGCAGGGCTTGCCAATTCTAGCGACTCCGGGGTCCAGGTGGGTTGTGTCAGCAACTGAGTGAAGAGGGTTGGATGGAGATAAATATCACCCTAATGCAATGACAGATCTCCCGACTCTCAGCCTTGGGAGGTGCGAGGGCAGGGCGGGGTCTGTGGCCAGTTGGGAAGCTGATGCCCTGTTGCAAAGGGCAGCTGCTACTCGGCTGTAGCCATGGGGGATTGTGGGCCCACTTTTGCCGGATTTTTAAAAAAAGAGAAACTGGCAACCTGGGTTTTCATATGAAACGTTCTTACTTTTAAACCCAAATAAAATGTGTCTGTGGGTTGAATCTGTCTCGCAGGCCACCAGTTTCCCCCCTCTGATGTATAACGTATGTGTTTGGCCATCTGGCGTGATTTGGGTGGGGAGGAGGAAGGAGGGAAAAGCCTAGGGACTCCCTGAATAGAACCGTTGAAGAAGTATGATATAGTTACTTTGAGGTAAGCGTCATTGGCTCCGTTTCACCGATGGGGAAACTGAGTCCCAGAGAGTCTAAAAAGTGTGCCGGAGTCACACGGCTCATTCGCCGCGAGTCATACGGCTCACTGAGTAAGCCGTCGAGGTGGAACTTGACCCAGACGCTCCGGCCCCAAAGTCCACTCTGAAAGTGGAGGGAGTATAGGGTAATGGTTAGCCTAGAGCCAAGTCTCCGGGGCCACCCAGGCCAGGCAGGACCCCGGCTCCTCCTCTTACTAGTTGTGTGACCTTTGGTGAGTAGAGTACTTCAGGGTTCTGTTTCCTCGTCTGTGAAATGGCGGGGGGCGGTGGGCACAGTCCTTAGCGAATACCTCGTGGAGGTTGGATGACCCGCTACATGCAGAGCGTTTAGAACAGGGCCTGGTGCTTCCTGCGGGGATTATGGCGACGGGGCCCCTGCTGCCTCTCTGAATGAAAGAGAGGCTTTCGGGGGTGGAGGGCAGAGGGTGAAGAGCATTAGGGAGCAGCGTGGACAATGTGAGAAGCTGGGAAACCGTTGCCCACCTCAGAGATGGTGTTCATCGTCATTTCTGGCGGCCGTTTAGGTCTGGAGTCCAGGCGGCCCAGCTCCCCGCTCATCGACATTAAACCCATCGAGTTTGGCGTCTTTAGCGCCAAGAAGGAGCCCGTCCAGCCCTCGGTGCTCCGGCGGACCTACACCCCCGAGGACTACTTCAGGAAGTTCGAGCCGCGGCTCTACTCCCTCGACTCCAACAGCGACGACGTGGACTTCCTGACGGATGAGGAGATCCTGTCCAAGTACCAGCTGGGCATGCTGCACTTCAGCACCCAGTACGACCTGCTGCACAACCACCTGACGGTGCGCGTCATCGAGGCGCGGGACCTGCCGCCGCCCATGGCCCAGGACGGCGCGCGCCAGGACATGGCCCACTCCAACCCCTACGTCAAGGTCTGCCTGCTGCCCGACCAGAAGAACTCCAAGCAGACCGGGGTCAAGCGCAAGACCCAGAGGCCCGTGTTCGAGGAGCGCTACACCTTCGAGATCCCCTTCCTGGAGGCGCAGAGGAGGACCCTGCTGCTCACCGTGCTGGACTTCGACAAGTTCTCCCGCCACTGCGTCATCGGGAAGGTGTCCGTGCCCCTGTGCGAGGTGGACCTGGTCAAAGGCGGGCACTGGTGGAAGGCGCTGATCCCCAGTTCCCAGGTAAGGAGGTGGGGGTTCTGGGGGTGATGTGGGGTGCCGTGTCTTCTTCTGGGAGTTTGCGGTTTATTTTTTTTATTTTTTTATTTTTAAATTTATTTTATTGATTTTTGTACAGAGTGGAAGGGAGAGAGATAGAGAGTTCGAAACATCAATGAGAGAGAGTCATCGATCAGCTGCCTCTTGCACACCCCCCACGGGGGATATGCCCGCAACCAAGGTATATGCCCTTGACCGGAATCGAACCCGGGGGGCCCTTCAGTCCCCAAGCCGACGCTCTATCCATTGAGCCAAACCGGTCCCGGCTGTGGTTTATTTTTTATGAGGACTGTTATTTTTTAAAAAATTGTTTTGTACCGCAAAACATTCTAGTTTGAAATAATTCTCTACTTACAAGGAATTGCAAACACAGAACAGCAATTTCTTGTAATAGTTCCCATGCACCCTTCTCCCAGCAGCCCCCATGATAAATCTCACACGACCAGAGTAGAGGACGTCAGCACTGGCAAGTAATGGTGGCAGCTAAACTGCAGGCCTTACTCAGTTTGCACCCGTTTTTACATGCACTGCTGTGTGTGTGTGTGTGTGTGTGTGTGTGTGTGTGTGTGTGTAGGTCTATGAAATTGTGTCACATGTATAGGTTCATGTAACCACCATGTAACCACCACCACCCTGGGACTCTCTAGTCATGGAGGTGGGTTATTTAATGAGAGTGATTATCCTGGGTAGGAAGCTATCAGTCATTCCGACTTTCTGAAACTGATTTGGGAAGAATAAAATGAGGGCAGAAGAACAGGATGATAGATGGATGTTTTACAGGCAAATTGTGAGATCCCAGCCCAGGAACGTGCAATTGGCTGCTTCAGAAGCCACCCATGGACCAGGCTCTGGGCCCAGTGGTGGTTAGAGTCCCCCATCCCGCCCCCTTTGGGCTGAAGGATGACAGTGCACCCGCTGGGGGTGCAGCATGTGGCGGGAGCCCCTGGAGGCCGGCCAGCCCACCTGTGCTGTAGAGAGCAGGCCGGTACAACAGGCGGGTTATTTTGCATCAAACACACCAACGCGCTTCTCAAAGCTGAGCTCTCCTGGCCAGCTCTCCTACCACATGTATAGGGCACACATGTTAAACACGAGGACTGGAGGGGCTGCCCCACTGCCAGAGTGTCCCTGTCTGTGCACATCCTCAAAGGTAGGAGCTTTGTTCATCTCTTCGTTTGGATTCCTCAAGAAGAAGACCCCGAGGCAAGGGTGAGGCACTGGAGGGAACACAAGGAAAGACTGGAGAGGTCACATAAGGGTGATTTGGCGGCTGGTACCACTGTGGGAAACTTGCTGGAGGAAATGGGAGCCAGCATCGGACGTGTCTGAGGGTCTTTCTACCTGACGGGCAAGGGAGCTAACGATTTTATACACTAACTATTATCAGCTACTAGAGGCCCGGTTCACGAAATTCGTGCACCAGGGTGGTGGTGGTGATGGTGGCCTCCCTTAGCCCAGCCTGTACCCTCTCCAATCTGGGACCCCTCGAGGGATGTCCTGTTTGTCTTACATCCCTCTCACAATCCAGGACTGCTGGCTCCCAACTGCTCGCCTACCTGCCTTCCTGATTGCCCCTAATCGCTTCTGCCTGCCAGCCTGATCACCCCTTAACCACTCCCATGCCAGCCTGATTGATGTCTAACTGCTTCCCTGCCAGCCTCTTTGCCTCCAACTTCCCTCCTCTGCTGGCCTGGTCACCCCTAACTGCCCTCCTTTGCAGGCTTGGTGCTCCCAACTGCCCTCCCCTGCTGGCCATCTTGTAGTGGCCATCTTGTGTCCACTTGGGGGCAGGATCTTTGACCACATGGGAGCAGCTATCTTGGTCTTGTGGGTTGGAGTGATGGTCAATCTGCATATTACTCTTTTATTAGATAGGATAAAGGTCTGGTGCATGGGTCAGGGCCTGCTGGTTTGCTCTGAAGGGTGTTCCAGATCAGGGTGGGGGTTCCTTTGGGGCATGGGGCAGCCTGGGCGAGGGGCATGTGGTGGTATGCAGGCCAGCCACGCTGCTCCCCCCTAAGTGAAGGCCCTGGTATCTGGAATTTATTTATCTTCTACAATTGAAATTTTGTAGCCTGGAGCAGAGCCAGGCCTCCTGCTTACTTCCTGGCTGCAGCCATTTCTGTTTGGATTTGTTTACCTTCCATAATTGAAACTTTGTATCCTTGAGTGGAGTCCTAAGCTGGCCAGGGTGTGTGGAAAGCTTGGCTTCCTCTCTTGCCAGGGAAACCCAAGCCTCTCAACTGCTCTCTCTGGCTGCAGCCATCTTGGTTGGGGTTGATTTGCATACTCGCTCTGATTGGCTGATGGGCGTGGCTGGTGGGCATGGCTTCTGGGATCCCTTATCACATCTCCCATGGTCCAGGGTTCTTCTTCAGGGTTCCCTGTTCTGGAGAAGGCTGCACACAAATGAAAAGAGACTGGAAAAGAGTTAATTTGGGAAAATGGGGGCCCTGGCAGGAGTCCACCTCCAGGGGGAGGACTACTCTGCTCTGGCCTTTTGCCATCCCTTTTATTGAGGTTCTGATATACACCCGTATCCTTTAGGCAGGAAATTCCAACAATCGAAAATCAGCAAGAATTTAAATATGATTCACAGGTGAAAGCTGCTTCAACTACCAATGTCTCAACTAAACAATGAGTTAATAGCTTCGACCATTCAGAGCGATTAAGATTGACCAGCCTTCCGGGTTCCCTTTTCACATTTAACTACTAGTGACGGAGGGGCATGTGGTGGTATGTGGGTGTAGCGGAGTGATGGTTAATTTGCATATTACTCTTTTATTAGATAGGATTGGATGCACACTGTTGGGCGATGAGGAGGTTTATTTCCTGGCATTTCTGAACTGTTACACTGTCAGGTGAAGAGACCTTTGACATCCACAGATGCTGGCCCCTATGCACTGACCTGCTCATAGCCAAGAGATGGTGGGCAAGGTGTTGATAGTGTCTGCTACAATCCTAAATTCTCCATGTCACATGATCCGAATATATTGGGTGCTTTCCATGTATCCTCCTCAGTATTTGATATCCCTGGGTTTTCAACTGTCAAGAAAGTTACTATTGAAAGAGGGAAATCCCCCTCCACAAAATAATTTCTTTATGGCCAGGCTCCATTGTTGGCATCTGTGGAAGGTCCCCAAGATGCAGAGAATCTTACCTCCTTTTGGTCTTGGCTGAAATATCACCTTCTCAGCAAAGCCCTCCTGGCATGTCTGCCCTTGTTTGGTTCTCCTGAATGCTGAGGTCGAGGCAACGACCTGGGTACAGGCATATGTAGGAGGTGATCCCAGGAAGAAGGAGTGAGGGGCGAGCAGGACACAGGAAGGAGAGGACGTCAGTAGTCAGCGGCGGTTTTTGAAGTCTCCATCCTGCCTGCTGGTGCGGGGACACTGGCCAGGTGGCCCCCTCAAAAGGGCTGGGCAGAAGAGAAAGAGACCAGGTGTGCCGGTGCCAGCCGGAGCTGAAATCACATCGAGCAGGACTATGGGAGCATCTGTAGTGACACCAGATGCCGTGTCCACTGCATCACCCTGTTCATTTGGCTGCCTCCACCGTGGGTCCGTTACCCTCCCCTTGCTTTATTTTTCTCCAAGGCACTTACGTAGCATCATCCCACAGAGCATGCGTTTTAGGGCCCGTCTTCCATGCTGGTAGGTAAACCCCACGAGGGCAGAGGTCGTGTCTGTTTTGTTCCCCTGCGCTGAGAGCAGGGCCTGGCGTGTGGTGGTGCTCAGTGGGATTTGTGGGTGAGTGAAGGATGGAAGGGAGAAAGGATTCCCCAGAGAGAATTTCTTCTTTTCCTTCTCCTTCCTTCCCTCTCGCATCCCTTCACCTCCCTCTGTCCCTTCCTTCTTCCCTTTTCCTTTTTTTTTTTTTTTTCCCTTTTCTTGTCACACGAAGAAAGGCTCATGGGAACTCGGAGGGAAGAAGGACTCAGGCTTGCTCGGCCTTTATGCTCTTGAGAGCACAGGCCAGTGCTGGGTTTCCCTGAAGCGGAGTCTGGGTGTGGATTAGCTTCCAGGGGCTGCTGGGACCAAGCTCCACACATTGGGTGGCTGAAAACTCAGAACCGTATCTTCTCACAGAAGATGAAGGTGCTGGCAGGGCTGTGCTCCGGGAAACCTGCAGGGAATCCTTCCTGCCTCACTCTGGCTTCTGGTGGTGGCTGGCTCTCCGTGTTTGCTGGCTTGAAGCTGCATCAGTCGGATCTCTGCCTCCATCATCACATGATGTTCTCTGTGCGTATCTGTCTCTTCTCATAAGGACACCAGTCCTATTGGATTAGAGACCCTCCCTGCTCTGCTATGACCTCATCTTAAATAATAATCACATCTTCAGTGACTCTATTTCCAAATAAGGTCACACTCTGAGGCACTGGGGGGTTAAGATGTCAATATATCTTTGGGCACCGGGTGGCGGTGGTGGTGGGGGGAGCGGAGGAGTGCGAGGGGGGTGGGGTGGAATTCAACCCTAAACAGGATGCAGGAGAAAACCCTGCAGGGAGGGAGTGAAGCCATCAAGGTAAAGAGTGACAGCGAGAAGGGGAGGGGGGGGAGGCGCAACAGGGTGGCAGCATAGCATCAAGTGAGGCCTGGCCTACGCCTGATTTGTGCTGGGAGGGGACTCTGGACGGGGGAGCGCTGCAGTGTTGATCTTCCGTCAGACAAGCAAGTGAGCCTGGCTGCGAACCAGACCAGGAAATAGGATTTTCAGCCGGGCGGCCATGAGCCCACCTAAAGCTCCTGCACTGTAAACAGGGGTTCTGAACGAGGGGCACCTGGCAGTGCTGGGGGACAGTCTGGGTTTGGTAGATGGAGGTGCTTCTGACACCTGCTGGGTGGAGACCAGGGATGCTGCCACCCATCCTGCAATGCACGGGGCAGCCCCAGGCACAGGCACAGGATGACCCAGCAGAAATGCTCGTAGAGCCGAGACAGGGCGGGGAAGCCTGCTGGGGAAGA